ACACACACACACACACACACACACACACACACACACTTTAATGCATGCAAAACACACCAAATTAAAACTAAACAAACCTTTAAAAATATACGTATGCTTTTAAATGTGTGAGAGGGCAACGCGTGTTTGTGGGCGTGTAGGTGCGTGTGTGCAGTGCGCAGGCTGGTGTATCTGTGTTTGTGGAGGGCACAGGTCGGCGTGTGCGGAAGGTCGGCCTGTGGCATCATTCCTCAGGAGTGTTCCACCTTGCTTTTTGAGACACAGCCACTCACTGGCCTGGAGCTCCCAGATTAATCTAGACTGGCTGGCCAGTGACCCCCAGGAACCATCCTGCCTCTGCCTACCCGGGGCTGCGGTGACGGGTACGCCACTTCCGGTGGAGTTCTGAACTCAGATCCTCACGCTTGAAGTGCAAGCGCTTTACCAACCACCGGGGCCTCGTCCTCCACTTAAAATAAACAGTACTTGTATTTATCTCAACCGCAGCGTGTTGTGGCATCCCTCTCAATGCTGCCCTCCCTCCGTGGTTAAGACCCTGTCGAACCCATTTCACAGATGACAACAGGCAAGCAGTCAGGGTCAGAGGAGAGGACACCGGCTCTCCTCGGGCCACACGGCATCTACACCCTTCGGCCTCGCTCCTTGGTCAGGGGCCTGCTGAGAGGTCTTACACACAGAGGCGGGTGGGAGGGGACTCACCAGAAAGGTGGCGATGGCCGCTCCCGTGAGAAAGCCAGCCAGCACGTCCGACCAGTGGTTGCGGTACTCGGCCACGCGGACCACGCCCACCAGGAAGGCGGGGCACAGCAGGGCCAGGCAAAGGGAGGGTTTCACCAGGCGGGAGCCCTTCACGCGGAACACGAGGGTCACGTACATCTGCGGGACCCAAACGCATGAGGGGACGGCCAGGGGGCTCCAGGAATGGGGCAGCGATGCTCCCGCATTGAAACGTGACCACAGACCTCCCTAGGGAGCCGAGTCAGGGTCAAGGGGGCAGGTCCGGGAGCTCTAGAGGTGGCCTGGGAACCTCATGGGGCCACAGGGGGGGGAGGGGGGGGGGGGGGGGGGGGGTTTCAGCCAGTCGCTCCAGAGGCCGGTAAAAGGGAAGACATCAAAGTAACAGAGCGCAGGAATAAAGGCAGCGCGCCGGAGGGGCGGGGCCCAGCCGACCAAGGGGCGGGGCGAGAGCTGCAGGAGGCGGAGCCAGAGCCCACAAGCCTGGCCTGCTAGCCAGCAGCTTCTCAGCAGCTCCAAGGGCGGAGTCCCAAAAGACAGGACCACAGGGGAGAAGTCAGGGCGCTAGGGCTGGGATGCACGAGGGTGTGGCCTCAGGAACGTGGGGTGAACCTAAGGATGCAGCTCAGCGGGCACAGCCTCCTTCCCAGACCTCCCTCGGGTTAGCCGACCCCCCCCCCACCACACACACACACCCCAGACCCCTGGCAGCTCGCCCGGGGGCCTCACCGCAGTGTAGGTGACCGCGTAGGCGCACAGGGCCGCGTCCTTGCAGGGGAAGGCGCGACGGGCGGCGGCCACCAAGCTGGGGCTGCCTGCACAGGCGCTCTGGTCCGTGACGAAGCGGTCAGGCCCTGGTCGGTCGGGGGACGGTGGTGGGCAGCCCAGGGCCGTGTAGTTGGGGCGACACACCGACAGGAAGTGAGGTGTGGGGTTACCGGTCACCACCTGTCCCGCATTTGCAAAGATGGTCGTGGTGAAGAGGCCAAAAGAGTACACGCCTGGCGGTGGGGAGGAGAGAGATCAAGTCGCTTTCACTGGACCCCTCCCAAGCGCCCCGCAGGGTTCCATTAAGGCCCCTGTCTGTCTCTTTCAAATATATATAGTTTTAAAGGTAGCGTGTTGGTGGCACTCGGGAGGCAGAGGCAGGAGGACCTGAGTTCTAGAATGGCCAAGTCTACAGAGAGAGTTCTTAGAACAGTCAGGGCTACCCAGAGAAACCCTCTCAAAAAAAGGGTGATTTTAAAATATTTATTTGGGGTGTATCTATCTGCGTGGGCACTGTTGCGCTTTGTGTGGAGGTCAGAGGACAGCCTAAGGGATCTAGTTCTTGTCTCCTTCCACACAGGTTCTGGAAACTGAACCGAGGTTGTCGGGCTTGGCCATAAATTCCTTTAGAGCAGTCCCTGGTCTCGCTAGGGTCGCCACGAAAGCCGACCTGGGGCCTGTGATAACCGGGTGACGTAGCCGTACACTCGGTGCCACCGTAGGGCCCTCATTACAGTGTGTATTTACAGTCTGTCTCTAAGTGTACCATGTGAGGGCAGGCCCTCCCTGACTCCATCACACCACCGGACCCCTCCACACCATTGCGTCAGGAATTTGGGACCGACTAGAAAGACCTTACTGGAACTTCTGGAGTTCCTCCTCTCCTTCACCTTCTCTTCCTCTTACAGATCTTTTAAGAATTACATGTATTTGTGTATGCTTACGTGTGTGGAAGTCAGAGGACAACTTGTGACAGAGTTCATGTCTGTCCTTCTAGCATACAGGTCCTAGGGATTGAACTTTCAAATCATCAGGCTTGGTAGCAGACACAGTGCCTTTACCCACTGAATCCTGTGACTGGCATGTCCCTTTTCCCAGACCCCCTACCCCACAGGCAGAGCCTAGCTATGTAGCCCTGACTGGCCTTATGCTGGATATATAGACCAGGCTGGCCTAGAACTTTCAGCCTACCCTCAACTTTAAAAAAAAAAAAAAATATGTGCATGTGTGTGTGCCTCTGTGAAATTAGGCACATCACGTGGTGCAGGAGTCCATGGAGGACGGAGGGTCTCAATCCCCTGGCGGTAGAGGCCCAGGGGGCTGGGAGATGTCAGATGTGAATGCTAGGATCTAAACCCAGAGCAAAAAGTACTCCCAACCACTGAGCCATCTTTTCAGCCCCCAACCTAACCTTTGAGTATTGAGAGTATGGGAATGTGCCAACCCACACGGCTTGCTTTTTTTTTTTTTTTAATGCTATTGACTCACTTGGTAGCTCAGGCTAGCTTCCAAACTTCAGATCTTCCTACGACAGCCTTCCAAGGCCTGGGATTACAGATGTGCCCCAGCACTCAGGCTTGAATTCTTTGTGTGTGCAAACGCATATGCTTGTGATGGAGGTCAGGGGACAACCACAGCTGTCGTCCTTCCGACATCTTCACATGTTAAGACTGAGCTTCTCACGGGCCTGAAGTTTTGCCAAGTAGGCCGGACTGGGTGGCCCACAGCCTCTGTGAGTCCACCTGTCTCCACCTCCCCTCTTACCGTCTCTGGAACAACAGATGTGTGCCATCTCCGGCTTCTAAAAGAGATTTTCTTTCATTCATGTGTGTGCACGCGCACGCCTGTGTCTGTGTTGTATTTTGTGTATGTGTGTGTGCATGCCTGTTTCTATGTGTAGGTACATGCATGAGGCTATGTATATGTTTATGTGAATGCGTCTGTGCGCACGCATGTGTGTGTGTGTGCATCTTAGTGCGTGCGTGCGTGTGTGTGTGTGTGTGTGCGCATGCGTGTAGTACTTGCGTGTGTGACACACCTTGAGCGTAGTCAGAGAACAGCTCGAGAATTGCCCCTCTGCTTTGACCACGTGGATCTGGATATTCACACTCAGGTGACGCTTGGTGGCAAGCACCTGTGCCCGCTAAGCCTTCCTGATTCCCCGGCCGGCCTGAGATTCTTTTTAAGGCGGAACTGGTCCGTGTTCCTTTGTGCCTGAACTCACCTCCCTCCCCAAGACCACTGCCCTGACCCCAGGCCTCATCTCTCACCCAGGAAACGGACCAGCCTCCGCAGTGGGGGGCTGAAGCGGCAGCAGGCCCCCGACACAATGGTGCTCTCCCCGCTGACAGGACGGCTGGACGGCGGGGCAGGGAAGAAGGCACGTGCCAGCTCCCCCAGCAGGATCTGTGGACAAGACCAAGATGGGGTTTCCCTGGCCTTCAAGGCCAGGGCTCCACCAGCCCCAACCCGGCCTTCTTGCTTTCTGGGAGGTTCGACTCCCTGGCATGCGGCCTGGGCGACCCACACTGTCTCACCGTAAGGGTGGGCCCAGCAGTGACCAGGGCGTAGACGAGGGCAGGGGGCGCGCGGCTGGCAGCCTCGGGCCCGGGGTACGGCTTGGCATAAGCGCTGTCGTGGCAGAAGAAGCCCTGGGCGTGCACAGGGAAGGTGTCCGTGAACTCCAGGCGGTAGGCAAGCAGGACCACGATGCCCAGCAGCGCAGACTGCAGCCGGCCAGGGCCAGAGAGAAGCGGAAAGAGACAGGAGGAGGTCAGAGGCCGTGAGGCCGGACAGAGACAGGGATAAGGGAGAGAGAAACTGGAAGATGGAGGAAGACTGAGACAAAAGGAGAGGAGGGGAGGAAGGAGTTGCGGCAGTGTAACCTTTCCAGCAACTGTAGCTGGTGCTGTTTTCTAGTTTCTGGTGGGCTTTTGTTTGGGCATTGCTTGAGACAAGGCCTCATGTACGCCAGGATATCTTAGAACTCATTATTGGGGTGACTCCTGATCTCCCAGACTCCACCTCCCAGTACTGAGGTGACAGTTGTGGGTCAATTATTCAGTGCGGGGGACAGACCCTAGGGTTTGTTCAAGCTAGGCAAGTCTCTACCCGCTGAGCCACACCCTCACCCCTGTTTTTTTTTTTTTTTTTTATTTATCTATTATTTTTTTAGATGGTCTCATTATGCATCTGAGGCTGTCGTGGAAATCATGACAGTACTTCTTTGTTTTGAGACAAGGTTTCCCTTGCTGGCCCGGAGCTCACTACGTAGACCAGGCCGGCATCGAAGTCACTAGAATGCACATGCTTTTTTCCTCCCAAGTGCTGTGATTAAAGGCGTGTGCAACCACTCCTGGCTTGTTTGTTTGGAGACAGGATCTCACTCGGTAGTCCTAGGTGGCCTGACCAAGCATTTGGACTGGCCTTGAGTTCGCAGACAGTCTCCTGCCTCTGCCTCTGTCTCCTAGATGTTAGGATTACAGGTGTTTTTTTTGTTTTGTTTTGTTTTTTTTTTTGTCTCTTTCTGTCTTTATCTCTTTTTGAAACCGAGTCTCATGTAGCGCTGACTTCCCTGAAATCCTTCTTCCTTCAGGCTCCCAAATGCTGAGGCTACACATACGTGTCATCATGCCCTGTCAATTATGCCTCTTTAGAGATGAAACTGAGGCTCAGGCATGCAAAGTCCCAAAGTGTGACGGATCAGGGCAGAACGGGGCCAGAATCCAGAGAGGAACGCTTCGGAGCCCAATCGTGTCACCACATCTCAAGAGAAATGGGGCAGGAGCAGAGGTGGTGAGGAAATGGGGTGCAGGAGGTCAGAGAGAGATGGTAGGAGTGGACTGGGCCAGGAGCAGGAAGGCAGGGTGGGCAGAACAGAGGGAGGAAATGGAAACCAGGAGTGCTTTCTCAGAGCAGCTCGAGGTCCTCACCTCCACGAAGACGAAGCAGGGGATGATGGAGAGGCTCCGCTTCAGGTGAGGCCTCCCTCCAGCCATGGTGAAGGCCGGGCCTGTGGAGGGACAGGGAGTGGGCTCTCCAGGGAACGCCATTGAGCAGAGGAGCATCCTGGGACTCTGAGTCCTCTCGCTGATCTGGCCACGCTCTGCAATCTACTTCCCACGCTGCTGGCCCTGCTCACTGCACATCCCTGCCTCTTCTTACACCGGGGCTCCGGCTTCTACCAGAGACCTCGGGCTTCTTTTTTTTCAGTCACATTTACCATTTGTGTGCGCACGTGTGTATGTGTGTGTTTGTACATGTGTACCACATAGTTCGTGTGGAGGTCAGAGGGCAACCTGCGGGAGTGTGTTCTCTCAAAAGATTCTGTAGTGGTTTCTTCTCTCTACCTTCTATTAAAGAAATTCTGCGGGTCCCATCCCGTTTATGGGACCTGCAACCAGTCTTTAGAGAAGAGTGCCTCTCTTCTTGGTACCGAGCTCTATCATATTTTAGGGAATTTCATCTTCTTTTCCCAGGAGATCCCATGTTTCTTGCCCTCTCACTCCTCCAGTCTCTTCCATTATGACCTCCACCTCCTGGCTTGTGGATCTGGTGTAGGCTAACAGTCAGATGCTTCCCCTCCCCCAGGGGCCTTGCCTCCATCCCATCTCCCAGGTCAGCTGCCCCCCCCCAACTCCTCCCTAAATCTAACTTCAATCCCCCAGGCATTGGTAGCCAATACAGCCAAGCCAACTTTGCCCACAACCACACCTGATCTCACCTGTGAGAGCACCCTAGGGCTTCCTACTGGCATCCACCTCGCCCGGCACCAACTCACAGATGCTCCCGGAGGCCAGCAGGGCAAGAACACTCATCTCCATTGCATGGATGTGGAAACTGAGGCCCAGGCAGATGAGGGTAGGCACTGTGCATCCAGGGCTCCATTGAGACCTGCTCCAGAATGACGTGTTGGAGTGAGGGCACCAGTGTCCAGCTGTGCAGAAGTACCTACACGGGTTCTCCCACAAGACAAAACCCAGCCATGGCTTCCATCCCAAACCCCACACACAGGGACACCTCAGAGCATGACATCCATCCATTCCACAGCGAAATCCAGGCACACTGTGTGGGGTGCCTGCTTCATGCCAAACAAACCAGATTTGCTCATTCACACAAATCCCCAGTACCCTAAACACACACACACACACACACACACACACACACACACACACACACACA